GCCGCCGCCCCCGCCGCCGCCGCTGCCTGCGACGACAGCGCGCGCACCGAGGAGGTGAGTCGGGCCGGCCGAAATGCTTGTCAGGCCTTGTGTAAATGTAATAATGTGTAAATGTGTAATAATACCTTCATATTTTCTCGCGAAACTTTCACCGAAATTAAAGAACCATTGCAGTATACCAGATCCATGATACTGTAACAAGTTTCCTTGATACAGCATCATGGATCTGGTATACTCCAACGGTTCTTTTTTTTTTCGGTGATACTTTCTAATTCTGCATTCTGCTGTAAATTGCGGACCAAACCAACCCAGGTAAGGAAAAGGACTGATTGAGCAGTTAAGCACATTAAGGAGTCGTCGCATCCGCGCTGCTATCAGCTTTTCCTTCTGCTTTATTGGTAATGTTCCGGACTCGCTCGTATATCAAAATGAAAAGCAAAGAAAGCACCAGAACAGTCTCCAAATTGCATGTTCAGCGTTATAGAATATTAGCTGAGAAAAGGAAGAATGGTAAGATAAGTAGAATTTCGACTGTAAAAATCGCTGCAGATATATGTAAGCCATTATAACTTAATGCGTGTCCTTTGAAATTGACAAAGGAGTAATACAGCCACTCTTAAAAAGACTAGAACTGGTACACTTTTACCTGGAATGGGATGAGGCAGACGGTCCCCAATCTATGTGTTCCCTTCTCTGGCCCTCAATTCACATATGGGTTAAACTCTTGTGTTAATGCTGGTCCCCAATTTACATACGCGGGTTTGTCATTGTACAGTGCGCCAGGAAAATCTCTCCGCAGTGGCACCTTCCTCGTGAGAGTGCTAGAATCAGAAATAATGTTGGTAGCAGTAGTTACAGCCTGTAATAAAAGAAAAATTGCACACTCACCACAATCATAACAGAACCTGGAAATATTGACCACACTTGTTTCTCACTTATTCGTTTGCTACCAACATAAGTACTATTTTTAAAAAGAAGGCACTAATTCGGCACAATAGTGGCGGAGAGATTTTTCCCTGACATTCAATTACTATCGGGCACCAAACAAATTGGCGGTTATAAGTTTCCGGCCTGTCTCAAGATATCGCTCAGTAATTGGAAAACATTCTCAGTAGTGTATGTATGCAGTCTTATGTTTAATTCTGTAATCGCTGTAAGTGTGGCAGCCGACATCTCAATCAGATTTGTGGAGAGATTGTACGTGAGAATGGTAAGCTTGAAATTGATATGGCGATGGCGTGCGTATTAAAGGGGGGGTGTTGACCCCGCAGCATGGCGAAGTGCGGTTAGGCACAATGTTCCTCATAAATTTTCGGCTATCCGGGAGACGCCGCGTCGTTGGCTGGGAGGCGGACGTTTCGCCTGACATGTCGCAGGCTTCCTCAGGGCAGGAAGCCTGCGACATGTCAGGCGAAACGTCCGCCTCCCAGCCAAAGACGCGGCGTCTCCCGGATAGCGGAGAATTTATAGATTCGAGCCGCGGAAGCTTACGTGCACAATGTTCTCACCCGACATGCTGTATAACCAACTAGCGGTAGTGGCATGGAACGAAATCTCGCAGAGCAGGCATCTTGGGGCTACTGAAGGGGCGTTTGCGCTGCGTGCAGATCAGGGCGGGCGCCGAGCAGCGCCGGCCCGCGCCCGACACGCTCAAGTCGACGCTGACGCTGCGCGACCCGCCGGCCGGGCGCTGGCTGCGCTGCGACGCCGCCAACGTGCGCGGCAACGGCTCCTCGGCGCCCGTGCGCGTCGCGCTCACGGCCGTCCCCACCCGCGGGCCCTCGCCCGGCCTCGTGGGCGGCGTGGTGGGCGTGGTGGCGCTCATCTGCGGCGCCGCCGCCACCTGCGTCTACATCACGCTGCGGCAGAAGGTACGCGCTGCGCCTCGCCTCCCCCCGCGCAACTGCCGTCGCCGCGATCCGCCTTCTCCACCGTTCCTCTCGCCCTCGACCTTGCCCTCGCCCCCGACCCTGCCCCCGGTCCCTCTTCCGCTTCCGCTCCCGCCACCATCCTTGCTCCAGTCCTCAGTGTCACTTTCGTCCTCACTGTCACTTTCGTCCGCACTGTCACTTTCGTCCTCACGGTCACTTTCGTCCGCACTGTCACTTTCGTCCGCACTGTCACTTTCGTCCGCACTGTCACTTTCGTCCTCACTGTCACTTTCGTCCTCACTGCCACTTTCGTCCTCACTGTCACTCTCGTTCTCACCGACGCTCTCGTCCTCATTGTCAATTCGTCCCGAAAATGACACTTCGGGCACTGGAGTGTCTTCACTTGGATGCAGGAATGTGTTATATATGACAAAAGTCGGTAATTTTTGAATACATTGCCGTATTATCAGAAGTACACTGTGAACCTTCAGTAAAGCAACCTCACACCTGGCATCATTCCTGTGTTGATGGTTTGACATATCGCACCAGTAGATACTGTGAAGATAATGTAAATCAATAATAATAATAATAATATAATAATATATATAATAATAATAATAATATAATAGTAAAGTATTTTATTAAGTCATTATACCAATACAAATCGGTGTATGACGAGTCACGTATGAGTGTCTGTTATAGGAAATAATAGAGGTCGAAAAAATTATGAAAGGTAATGGCTAGTCTCATCTAATAACATTCGCATTACTCGTAGTGTGCAGTTTTTTTAGCGTTATTTATAATCGAAGCTTCCGCAATTCTTTGGCATTTCGTTGAAAAAGACGATAGTAAACAGAGCATATACACAAACCACAAGACACATTAACTCTTAAGAAAGTCCTGAGAGACATTCAAGCGCAAGCTACAATGTAGAATCATCTCTGAAAGAATATATCGCGGCAGAGCGCATATTCATTTTTTTTTTAAATGGTGTCACTGACTGATAGGCCAGTGAGGAGGTCGGCCGTGTGCAGAGCACCCGCAGAGGGGCGCGCGCGTAGTCGCAGCGGTAGAAGGTGCGCCACAGGGGCTGAGGGCGCCGCCGTCTGGACGAGGAGTGCGCCGTGGGCAGCGGGGACCGCGGCACCGCGCGCGCCGCCCGAGTCGTTACGAGCTGCCGCCGCTGGTGCAGTTTCCTCCCGTCGGGCAGTACGTGCCACGGCGGTCATCGTCCGGAATGCTCCTCTGATCCTTCAGTCGTACATGGCGGCGAGTATTACACTATTTACAGTAGCATACCCTCGTCTGTTGTAAGTAATTCGTTCACGCTCATGTGACTTGCCGTCCTCAAACTGTCGACCATGCTGCTCGGGACGTTTGTCACTGCTTAGTTGCACGCAACTGTGTACCACGTACAGCTCTTGTAACGGTTTCGGGTCCTGACGGTCGCGGATTTTCGACTTTCGTTGGGTTCATTACAAGTAGACTCCCAGACCTGTTCGTGCACGGACTAGAATTTTAGCGGCCTCGTCCTCACTGTCCTGGCCCGGAAGCTAGAGCTTCAGTACTTCTTCAAGGTTCTCCTAGTCTGTTCCGTGGGTTTGGCCTGTTTTTATCGTCCCTCATTGATACCGATGTCTAAGCTTCAATCTGCGCATTCTCGGTTCAAGCGTACACAGGGGCACGATACTCCGGTACTCCACTGTCCTTTCCGATCTGACATTCTCTGTCGTACCATCTCTTCCAGTCTCACGCTTTACATTCACTCGCTCCTACTCTACGCTTGTTCTCTACTTACTCTCGCTCGCCCTCACAGTCATGTCGGATACTCTAGCCCGAGATTATTCGAGTACCTAACGCGCAGATACTGTCAAATATTTCGCGTCGCTCACTAGCCATCACTCATTTTTTTATCCTTCACTGGTCATAGACGCTACTCGTCAATCATCTCATCAGCACATAAAGTTTGGGCACAGAATACTGAGATCTCACTGTACCTACTAGTTGGATCATATTCGCTCGAACTACAAACTGGTCTACTCTCGCGCTTTGGTACAGACTCTTGATCGCTTTTGAATATCATACAAATGTTGTGCTTGATATGAGTGGCAGCTACAATGCTAGCATCATCTGCGCATTCTGTCGAGGTACGTACGTCAGTCGACTATACCTCGATGTTATCGATATTCGTTCTCTGCCCTCGTCGTCTCATTCTGCTCCTCA